TCCTGGGGCTGCTGGCGCTGCTGGCGCTGGTCGGGCTGGGCTCCGTACTGCGGCCGCAGCGCGGGGCCAGGGCGGCCGAGCCAGGAAATCGGCGCACCCCGCGCTCTGGCCGGCGCGACCCGGTCCTGCCGCGGCCGCCGGTGCTGGAGAACTCCCTGGGCGCGCACGGCGAGGCGGTGCGGCTGCAGCTGGAAGGCGAGGAGCTGCGGCGGCAGGAGGAGAGCGTGCAGCGGCACCAGATCAACATCTACCTTAGCGACCGCATCTCTCTGCACCGCCGCCTACCGGAGCGCTGGAACCCACTGTGAGTCTGCAGGTGGCCGGAGGAACCCTGCCGGGGGGCGGGGTCCCCGGGCCTCAGTTCCTACATCTTTGAAGTGGTGGGGTGGAAATAGGGTCTCGAAGTACTTGGGGATCGCGCGTGTTATCGAGGCTCGAGAGTTGGCAGTGGAAGGCTTCACCTTGGGGGGAGGAACGCAAGAAAGTTAAAAAATAAAATTCGAAAAATGTCAGAAATTGACGAATGTTCTGAGGTTGTTTCCTGGCTCCCTCCCCCTTAAGAAGGTGTGTCATTCGATCCTGAAAAGTGGGGGTTGGGACTAAGCAGGCAGGTTTAAGATGAGATCCCCTTTGGGTTCCCTTTCTGGGTCCCACAGCACCTTCAGTCCAGCTCCTCCATATCGCCCTGCCTTGGCGAAGCTAAGGACTCCTGGAATTGGAGACAGGCTGCACTCATTTATTTCCGCGCCTGGGCCCATATATGAACTGGAGGGGAGGGTGCACTGGGCAGTGAGGTGAAAGGTACCTGGAAGGCCACGTCAGAGGCGGCAAGTTTCCTTCCCTCTCACCTGAGCTTTAGGAGGAGAAAGACAGGAAGGAGCGGCAGATGGGAAGGGCTCCTGGCTGTGGTCCAGCCCAGCTCACGTCTGTGGATGGTACAGGCCCAGAGCCCGTGTGGGCAAAGGCGTAATTCGCGTTGGAGCTGCTGGCTGGGCCGTTGTGCCCACCGCCTAGGTGAGAAGGGAACAGACTTGCAAGAGGAGGACGGCCCTTCCGACCTCTCCTTTCCTCCGTTGGTGGGGATCTTCTAGGTCCTCGCTTGAGCCCTTCTTTGAAAACTCTGAGGAAAAAAGGGCTCAGAGAGGGGGTCCCTGGGAGAAGCCAATAGGGCAGCCTGCTGTCCTTGATACCTGACACCCTTACCTGATCCTTGTCTTTCTAGATTTACAGGTGTGGAAATAGGCTCAGCGAGGACAGGTGACGGCTAGAAAGTGGTGGAACTTGGGGAGACTGCGACCCTCTTGGCACCCATGGCACTGTGTTGATTTCAGGATTTAAGGGACCTGCTCTGTGGGTCCTTGGTTTGGACGGATTTGCACCTCTCTATTTTGGGGGGATCTGCTCATCCCTAGCCTCATGCTTTTCACTGAGGTATTTTCACTGTTCATCTTCTTGAGAAGTTTCTTTGTTGGGGTTGGTAGCAGTTCTCCCACTTCAGGCAAATGTTCGAATGCATGTTTATTTCCTTGAAACTCCAAGAGTGTTCACTGAGTGAAGGTCTAGGGGAAGCTTTCGGATCAGATCCAAGGGTCAAACACAGTCCACGTGAGATAAACTCCTGGCTCTTTTGCTCATCAGTTTTGTGATCTTAGGCAAGCTATCTAGCCTTTCTGAGACTTTCCCTGTCTGCAAAATAGGGAATGAGAAGAAATAACATAACCTAGGAATTAATAAAACACCTAACACTTGGGAACACTGTGTACTCAATTCTTATTAATTTTACCTCCCTTACCTATTGCCAACAATATACGCAGGAGGTCACTTTTAAGCATCATCCAGGGATTGGTTGTGAAGTTTTTCTTTTGTGAGTTCCAACTTCTTTTATTGTCCCAGGTTGTGAAATTGCTTAGAAACACTATCATGACCTGTGGAGCTTATGATATTCTGTCTCCATGGTGACACAGTTGCCCAGTGTCCTATCAAGATTTGCTTATAGATCCTGCTGTGGCATTGACTCTGGGAAATTAATCCAAACCCAGCTTGATAAGGAGTGTGAATGCCTCCTGCCTTTAATTCCTGCAGCAAGGCCCGTTGGGTTATCCTTACCTAGCTGGAAAGGTGAGCTGGATCTGTATTGGTTGCAGCTGGGCCAGGCCTTGATGCATAACTTCAGTGTGTCCAGAAGTCAGAGTCTTTCATGGAGTCTCATTTTTATTATAGTTCATACAGAGGCGGGGACCTACTAAGGGTCTGGGGATTTAGCCAGAGAAACTGAATAGGCAGATTACATGAGTTCACAGTCAGGATGGGAGGGGTGGTCCCTTGAGACTCTAATTAATAAGCAGGGAGGTGATTAAAATCCTTGACTGTCACAGTAAGGAAGGCCCTGAGTCAGCATGCAGTCTAACCTGAAAGGAAAAGCCAGGGTAACAAGCAGATCTGGGCAGAGCTGATCCAGAACCCAAATCTTTTATTCCCTCCTCCCTTTTGGAGTGGAGACAATTATTTACCTATTTTAATTATAAAAACAATATGTGTTCACTCTAGAAATTTTAGCAAATACAGAGAAGCAAAAAAGAAAAAAGTAACCCATTAACCCACCACCCCAGGGAGAACCACTGTTAACATTTGGCTGTGTATCCTAGACTTTTCCAGGTATAGAAATAGATTTTGAAAAATATACATATGGGTATGTGGATGAGAACATATTAAAACATGAATATGTACATAGGCTCACACATGTTTTTAAATGAAGTCTTTACAGCAAGTTCCTGAATAATGTCTTTTTGTTTGATGTCATATCGCCACAACGTTGATGAGATGTCATAGGAACTTAATTCCTGTTTCTATTAATTAGCCTGTGGTAAAATTGGTTTTGTTATGTGTTGTTTTCCTTAAAGTCGCAGGACTTATGGACTTTAAGTGAGGACTTGCTATACAGTAGATAAATCTATTACCATAGACAGGGAGTTGGGAACCCCCATCCCTTCTCCCGGGGACTATTTGGCATAGCTATTCCTGGCATCTGTTCAGGAGGTAACTTTTGGACAGTGCCAGACTGATAGAGACACTCCGAGTGTTGGTTCTAATTCCTCCAGACTCGGTGTAGACTCCAGCCCTTCTGTGAGTCTAAACATTACCTGACGATAGGTTAGAGCACAGCTTTATTTCTGTTCATTACAGCACTGAATCGAGGAGGAGGAGGTGGAGGATGACAAGAAATCCTTGCATGGTAATATAGTTAGTATTGGGTTCGTAAAACGCTTTCACAAATACATCTCATCTGAGCCTAGCAAGGAGAGAGAACTTTAACTCTGAGATGGCAGCCGGCCAAAGTTGAGAGTCAGATAGCTGAGTCTGTAGCTTGCTGAGTTTGTAGCCTTGGGAGATTTTTAAAAATATCGATGCCAGGGACCGTCCCCAGAACAATTAAATAGAATTTCTGTGGGTAGAGCCTAGGCCAAGGCTGATGTTAACTAAGGTTGGAAGCTTCTGGCTGAGATCCTGAAGATTTCTTAGTCAGAAGATGAAGGGCGGGTGCTTTTTAGGGTGTGGGAGAATACCAGAATTAGACAAAGTGAGGATAAAAAACAGGCCAAGTGCAGTTGAAACTAATGATGACATCATAGTTGTGAGGCGTGTTGCAAGTAAGTGGTTGCTAATAATTTTGTACCAATATTTGCAAAGTGTTTTATTTTTCATAGATCAGAGAAGCCTTACGATAATCACTAGAATGTCATTCTCACTTGCTTTCTGTCCTGTATAGCTGAAGAGAAAGGTGGAGTTGACAGTGCATTTCCACCAGCACGTGGGTGGAGACGCCACGCATGTGAACCTCAGCCGTTCTCTGCTGTAGCAGGGGAGCTGCGAACCACTGGTTAGGAACGTGTGTAAAGAATACACAGGTGTTTGCGTTTCTTAAATGCTTGCTCTAGTTTTAGTCTTCTTAATGCTATTATTGCAGATGTGGATCTGAGTTGAGGGATCAGGACTTGGGTGCTGGGATGACAGTCTCAAAATAGTTCTAAATAGATAACTCAGCAAAAGTGTTTGTCTTGCTGTGGTTGGCAGGAGGGAGTTGGTTAGTATTTCTCTTTGTAGAGAGGTAGCCTGCTTGTCTGCTCTGATAACATTATTTTTGGAAAAACATCGCACATAGTGTGGAGATTAGACTGATGTTTGTTTTGCTTCCCCAACAAGGCTTCAAACTGCAGGATATTTTATTAATTCTCATTAGACCCATCTTGTGGCTGTCAGAATAGCACCCTTTCTTTAAATTAGTACTTTAATTCTAGACCATGTTCGGTTTTGGTTAATATCTTCATGATAACTTTCCATCCTTTTACTTTGACTATTCTGTGTGCTTATGTTTTAGGTGTGTCTCTAAATCGGGTGTTGTTGGATTTTGTGTTCTTAAAAAAAAACCCCGACTGACAGTCTTTGAATTTAACTAGATAGTTATATCCATTTATGTTTATTGTGCTTATTGATACTTTAGGATTTGATTATACCATCTTATCTTATGTTTTTTCTATTTGTTATGCTTTTTCTACGTGTTTTTCTCTTTTTTTATGCCGCGTTATGAGTGAATAGCTTTTCACTCCATTTTTATCTCTCTACTAATTTGGCAGTTATATTATCTACAGATGCTCCTTGACTTACAACGGAGTTATGTTCTGTTAAACCCATTGTAAATTGAAAATATCGCATTTTGAAAATATATTTAGTACACCTAACCTACCGAACACTGTAGCTTAGCCTCGCCTATCTTAAACATACTCAGAACACTTATGTTAGCTACATAAGTTTGACAAAATCATCTCCCTGCTCCTGCCCAGCATCACAAGAGAGTATTGTGTCATGTATCTCTAGCCCAGGAAAATATCAAAATCCGAAATTTGAAGTATGGTTTAAATGGATGCATATTGCTTTCTCACCATGATCAAGTTGAAAAACCATAAGCTGAACTATCGTTCTGGGACTGTCTGTATTTCTAATTTTTAAAGGTAAGTTTAAAAGTACATATTTATTTCAACAAGGTCTAAAGTTAATCAGGGACTATGGACCTTAGGATGCTTTACCATTAATCGCCTTCTCCCCAATTTGTATGCCATTTTAATTGTGTTTTAATTGTCTTGCTTTTTAAACCAACACATCGGACATTTTAAAAATGCAGTATTTGTGCTAGTGGAGATTAGGATAGTCCCCACCCAACAGGGTTGTTGTGGGTTAAGTAGAATAATGCGTATAAAATGCTTAGCACACTGCCTATCACGTAGTAAGCACTCAGTACAAGTTACTATT